CCGGCTCCCGGGACAGCGGCGCGGCGGTGCCGCAGAGCTGCCCTCCCGAACCGTAGGAACAGCGCATGCTCCTTCTAGGGCCCTGCAAGCGCCACCGCACGCTGGGGGGGACCCAGCGTTAGTCTGTGGTGTCACAGATCTGTCATCTCGCGGTGGCCACGCACAGTGAAGCCGACCCTGCAGTCCCACTCACTCCTCTGCGCTGGGGGAGACGCATTTTTCTCCTCCTCCTCCTCCTTCCCCTGCTGCTCCCCTCCTCCCTTGCCGCTGTGCCGAGCTCCTTGGTGAACCAGGACAGAGAACTGATCCATTTTAAAAATAACCCTGCAAAACCCGGAGAGAGGGGGGAGGATGAATGGAGTATTTTTAGCTTAACCGGTTGGGTTCCCTGCGTAGGGCTGCAAGGTTGTCGGAACGCAACTGGGAGGAGGGGGCGATGGCCATGCCAAGGGGGCTGATAAAAGGTGGCCGGGGGCAGGAACTGTTGATTCCAGCTTTTCCCCCGAGAAAGACGACCGTGGAAACATTGCGTCACGAGCGTGAGGCTGTGCTGTGTGTAGATATCTGAAAGAGTGAATATTTTGTAAGCATACTGATAGGGATTTTTTGCTGATTGGTAGCGGCTGTCCCGTTGGGGATGGCCATCACCCTAGAGCTTTTCTTCAAAGTACGGAACATAAGGGTTTCCAAATCCAGGTGCTGAAGAGCCCAAGCAGAGCTGGAATTGAACGAGAGCTTGGCTTTTGCCTCCTGGCTTCAGGACTGGCTCCCTCTTCCCTTTTCCTCTTCCCTTCCAGACTTTTTGAAGCTCATCCTTGGTGTGGCTTTATTTAATGACACTGTCCAGGTGCCGAAGTGTAGGATCAATTACTTTAATAAAGTAAGAGTTCTGATTGAATCAACTGGTAATATCTAGTTGCCACATGTGCCATATTGTCTGCCTCCTGGTGCTTATCCTTGCACACCTGTGTGGGCAGAGGAGAAGGCAACACGGAAAAATGTAGGACAAGGACTTTGCGAAAGGCAAGGGAAGAGAAGCAAAATTGTGGACTGAATAGCTGGTGAAGACTCTGGGTAGGACAAAGGCAAAGGTACTGCAGGGAAAAAGGGATGGAAATTGCCCCATAAGAAACAGCTAGGAAAATACTAGGAAAAATAGATAAAAGGAAATATGGACATTGTCCATCTGAAGGAACATAGGGAGAGTTGGTCCATGATGTCGTGGTGATTCTGGAAGTGCTGTCAGGGTAGGCAGAGAGACTACAGCAATTGCTTCCTTGGCCACTGTGGTTTGAGTCGCTTCTGTCTGCCTTTCTGCTGTCTACAAGGGAGGAAAAGATTGGAGAAGGGAGAATGTGATTTTTTTCCCTCTGCTTATCTCGATAGATATTGGTAGAAAAATCTCAGATCCTGTGACATAAAAATCCTACTTTTGGTCGTATCTGCTGGATTGGTATAGTCCAGTGTGTTAGTACCATCCGAGCTATATTTAGAGAAGTTAAGTGAGAGGAAATAGTGTGGAGACAGAAGTAGTCCTGAAGCTGTATTGGGCTGCTGCACATGTGGCGAGTGAGGAGGGGGAATACTCCTTCTGTGATTTCAGTTTAAATAGAAATGCCCTCGAATTTACAAGTAATCTTTTTTTAAAAGTAAAACTTAAGTCAAAGGCAAAATGTGGTTTAAGTTAGACGCTCTCTGCCTCTATATGCTTTTTCCAAGTGAACACACAGAACTGTGGAGAAATACGCAAGCAATGTATAATATACTTGAGTAAAATATTAACTTCTTTCTTACTGGTCTGCAGTCCTGTGCTGCTTGGTAAAATGCTGTAATACAGTAGTACATTTCAGGTGGAACAAGAAAACAAATCCAGCCTTTTAGGTAATGGAAAGAGTATGCGAGTGCTTCATTTTTTGGAAACATTCCAATGTTTTATCTTGTTCCTTAGTATGTCTTAATGTTTCATAAGTTCTTGCCTTTATGAAAGTGTGTAAAGAGTTTGTGAAGTTAATTTTGTAATAGTAATGTGTAGAGCTGAATAATACTTTACATTTCATTTGGCTTTGCTACTTGCCACCTAAGTTCTCTCAGATTGTATAAGAAAAGTTTGTGTAGGCAGGCCAAAGGAAACGATGCTTGAAACTTATTCTCTCTTAATTGCCTTTGATGTAGGTTGAAAAAGACATAGCTTCAGCAACCAAAATAAATCATATTTTTAATAAAGGATTTCTATCTTGGTGAATTTATACTGACAGAACAGTATTGGTTAAAAATAAAAGAACTTCTGCAGACACACTGCAACTATCCTAGTTTTATGTTGCCTAAACAGAAGTCAAGGAGACACAGGGAAATACCCAGCGTACAAATATATAGAGTACACCTTTTGGTGTGAGGTACCTCTTTTAGTACAGGACTTCTTCTGACTGCTCTAATGATTTGCTTTAAGCCATTAAACCATCTCCTTCTGCAGGATGACATAGAAACAGCGTTCAGATATTCTGTTTGTCATCATGCGACTCCACAGGAGACTGCTGTATGCTATACCAAAAATATCTCATGTTGATGTGGAGATTTGCATGACCTTAGGGATGTTAGTTTGCACTTCTCTGTCTAAAGAAGTATTTCCGAAAGAAATGATAGGCTGATTGAGTACTTATTTTTTGTTCAATATTTTTAAAAAATCTTTTTTGATAAGAAGCAATAATTTCACTTTTTCTATTGATGCTTTCCCCCTTAATCTTACTTAGCTTCTCTCA